TTCTAATTATTACGGCCCCTACATAAAATTGAGCCCAAGTAGCAGTATAATATATTGTATATACTTTGGTGGCCCAAATATGTAAAAAAAAGTAACAGTATAATTCGTACATTTACTTTCGGGGCCCAAATATCAACTAAGAAGCTACTATTTTATAGGTACTTGGACCCTATGAGATCCTAAAACCTATACCCTAAACCCTAAATCCTAAGCCCTAAACCCTAAACCCTAAACCCTAAACCGTAAAAACCCTAAGCCCTACAGCCTATGAGATCTGAGAGCCCCGCAGATGCATCCATCCGTCCTCGCGCCGCGATGCGCTGGAAGAGCCGAGGCCAGACCCGCTCGATGATTAGGGTTTAAGGCTTCAGGTTTAGGGATCAAAGTTTAGGGTTTAAGGTTTAGGGATCAGGGTTCAATTTTTCGGGTTTACTGTAGGGCTTCTGCCTAGATTTTTTGGGGATTCAGGTTTAGGGTTTAGGGTTTCGGGCTTCTGGCTACATTTATTGGGATTTAGGCTTAGGGTTTAGGGTCTGTGGCTACATTTACTGGGATTTAGGTTTAGGGTTTAGGGCTTCTGGCTACATTTATTGGCATTAAGTGCAGGGTTTGGGGTTTTTAACGGTTTAGAACGTATGGCTACATTTATTGGGATTTACTTTGGTCATGGTGGTAGTAGGCAGCGGGAGGAAAAATCCCTGTGTTGGGTGCTGCAGCATTCATTGTCGGAAGTTCCAGATGGATGGTGGGTCCAACCTCTTGTGTTGTCTCCAGGACCTAGCATATGCTATAAGTACCTGCTTTTGCGAAATCCTTCATCTACTTGAACAGGCCCTGTCGCTGCGCGCAGCAGCTGCAGAACGTAGCGGCGACTGGGAAGCTGCGCGCCCCGGCTCAATATTCATCAAGCGATTGCAGGTCGTTAGGGCATTACATATTTTTCTATATTACGTATTGAAAATACATTGTGTTCTATAGTATATGTTGTATACACATGTCGTGTCGTGGGGATCGGTCCGAGCCCGGCAAGGCCTCGTATACGAAATGCCAGATCGAACTACTGGCATCGATCGCTCTGCTGACAGCTGACCGCTCCCGAAACGATGTGGGCACATGAGAGTTTCCATTCCTGAGCATGCTAGCACATGCGTCATAGCCATGTCCCAAGTCGAAGGTCATTGAATCCTGCTCCACTAAACCTCTGATTTGGAGACAAAAAGACCCAGGAATGAAGACCTGGAGCTCCTGGCGCCCATGATGCGCACGCCGGAGGCGCTCAGCGAGGAGGCCGTTCATTTTTTCGGAGTTGCCATGTTAGTGAGGTCTATGCACATGTGTGTCTAACTGCATCGTCATTGCTGCTGCAATTGCCAACACCACCACTATTACTACGACGACGGCTTCGATTAATCATGTTCAGAATGATTTCATCACCCCTGTCCTAGGAGGACGACTGCGACAACGACGACGACCACCACAACTGGTACTAGTCTTCGTAGCAGCAGCAGCAGCAGCACTGGTACTAGTCTTCGTAGCAGCAGCAGCAGCAGCA